TGCAGCCACAGAGCATACTCAGAATTTCAAGAGATCTTAAAAAACGTAGCTCGGATACCAATTGTTGAATCAAAATAGAGTAAAAACTCTAATTGATCCAAAAAAAAAACTCTCTTTAGAATAATCTCACAAAATTGCAAAAGGGAAGAACTCATAAGAAAGCTTTCAAATGCTTATAATTAAGCTTTGATTGTTGGATGATAAAACTCAAATACAAGTAGGGTATTTATAGGTTACAAGAAACAATCTAAACCACTCATTAAAATAAACACTAAATAATCTAAACCATTGAAATTAAAACATGAGAAAAATACTTAATTTTCACCTAACTAAATTGATGTAAGCAATGACATCAAAACTAAATTGATGTAAGCAATGACATCAAATTAATTTAGGTGTGAACATATAGGCTAATATTGAATTTTCAACTTTAACCTATAAAGTGTTTATCGTGTCACTCTGAACAAACACCGTGCTGAAAACATCTGTAGGCTGTCCATATTCATGTGTAAAGAGAGCCCCTCATGCATTAGCATACGATCCTTCGACTGGAACCGCATGTGCAACTTCTCAAGGTTTGTATATTCAGCAGGAGGTTCTCGTTTTTATTTCTTTTTCTTCACTCTGTGATTATATTACTCGGGGAACTTTCTCGCTTTCTTTTGAGTTTCTGATGGAGAATAAAGTTGTTTATGTTAAAAATTCAATATTAGCCTAAATAAGTTCACACCTAAATTAATTTGATGTCATTGCTTACATCAATTTAGTTTTGATGTCATTGCTTACATCAATTTAGTTAGGTGAAAATTAAGTATTTTTCTCATGTTTTAATTTCAATGGTTTAGATTATTTAGTGCTTATTTTAATGAGTGGTTTATATTGTTTCTTGTAACCTATAAATACCCTACTTGTATTTGAGTTTTATCATCCAACAATCAAAGCTTAATTATAAGCATTTGAAAGCTTTCTTAAGAGTTCTTCCCTTTTGCAATTTTGTGAGATTATTCTAAAGAGTTTTTTTCTTCTTCTCGATCAATTAGAGTTTTTACTCTATTTTGATTCAACAATTGGTATCCGAGCCACGTTTTTAAGGTCTCTTGAAATTCTGAGTATGCTCTGTGGCAGCAGTTTTTAACTGATCTTCCACATCAGAAAATATTTCTTGAGTTATTGTCGGGGTTATTACAAACCTTGTGGAGCTTCTTTGTGTTTAGAGTAATTTAGTACTCTGCACGTTTGTTACTCAAGCTTGTTCGGTGTAGTCAAAGCCTTGCCGTTAAGATGGGTGATCTTCAAGTAGTTGGAGGAATCAAGAAGCTCAACAACAAAAACTACAACACGTGGGTAACATGTATGGAGTCATACTTACAAGGTCAAGACCTTTGGGAGGTTGTCGGTGGTGGTGAAGTTACATAACCGGCGACAGAAGATGCCAATGGAATCTTGCGAAAGTGGAAAATTAAAGCAGGCAAAACAATGTTTGTTTTAAAGACCACAATTGAAGAAGAAATGTTAGAGCACATTCGGGATGCTAAAACACCAAAGGAAGCATGTGAAACTTTTGTTACACTCTTTTCGAAGAGGAACGATACAAAATTGTAACTTCTCGAGAATGAACTTCTATCAATGGCGCAACGCGACATGGCGGTTGCCCAATACTTTCACAAGGTGAAGTCGATATGTCGCGAAATTTCAGAATTAGATCCGACAGCTGCTATTGGGGAAGCCAGGATAAAAAGAATAATTGTCCATGGTTTGAGACCCGAATATCGAGGGTTTATTGCCGCTGTACAGGGATGGCCGACACAACCATCGCTTGTTGAGTTCGAAAATTTGCTTGCAGGACAAGAAGCCATGGCCAAGCAAATGGGAGGAGTCTCGCTGAAGGGTGAAGAGGAAGCGCTCTATACCAGCAAAAGCAGAGGCACTTTTCAGCGGTATACTGGCAGTGGATCTAAAAAGGATGGTGACAAGGTGAAAAATTACCAAGGAAAGGGAGGCCCTCATTCAGGGGGAGAATCCAAGAATCGCGGTAATAGTAGAAAGTTCGATGACAAGTGTTATAACTGCGGGAAGATGGGTCACATGGCAAAAGACTGTTGGACCAAGAAAAAGCCTGTTGAAAGTAATACTGCTACTTCTTGTTCGAAGGAGAATAGTGAAGATGGTTGGGATGCTGAAGCATTATTTGCTACGGAGGAAGAAGAATTAGCTCTCACGGTAACAACACAAGAACGAATTGACTACAAGAATGATTGGATCGTAGATTCTGGCTGCTCAAATCATATGACGGGTGACAAACAGAAGTTGAAAAACCTGTCTGAGTACAATGGAGGTCGTGTGGTGGTGATAGCTGACAACTCAAGGCTACCGATAACTCACATCGGTAAGACAATAGTTACGCCTCGATATAATACTAACCAGGTGCAACTCCAAGATGTTTACCATGTCCCAGGAATGAAGAAAAATTTGCTATATGTGGCTCAACTAACATCATCAGACCATTATGTCTTATTTGGTCCCCAAGACGTGAAGGTTTATCGTGACGTCAAAATCTCAGAAACACCAACAATGGAGGGACGACGTTTGGAATCAATTTACGTGATGTCAGCAGAGTCTGCATATGTAGACAGGACAAGGAAAAATGAGACATCAGATCTATGGCACATGCGGTTAGGTCATGTTAGCTATTCCAAGCTAAGTGTGATGGTGAAAAAGTCGATGCTTAAGGGGCTTCCTCAACTAGACGTGAGAACAGACACGATCTGTGCGGGATGCCAGTATGGTAAAGCACACCAATTACCATATAACGAGTCAAAGTTTAAAGCAAAAGAACCGTTGGAGTTGGTTCACTCTGATGTGTACGGACCGGTTAAGCAACAATCAATTAGCGGTATGCGGTACATGGTAACATTCATTGATGACTTCTCCAGGTATGTGTGGGTTTTCTTTATAAAAGAAAAATCTGATACTTTCTCAAAGTTTAAAGAGTTCAGAGACTCAGCTGAAGGAGAAGTGGGAAAGAAGATATGTTGCTTGTGCATAGACAACAGAGGAGAATATAGATCAAACGAGTTCTCTCAATACCTAAGGGAATGTCAAATACGTCATCAGTATACTTGTGCCAACACGCCACAACAGAATGGTGTAGCGGAAAAAAAAACTCTGCATCTTACAGAAATTTGTCGAAGTATGCTACATGCAAAGAATGTACCTGGAAGGTTTTGGGCTGAAGCAATGAGGACTGCAGCCTTTGTGATCAACAAAATTCCTCAACCAAGGTTAGGATTTGTTTCACCCTTTGAGAAACTATGGAACATAAAACCTACAGTTAGCTACTTTCGAGTATTTGACTGTGTATGTTATGTGTTTGTTCTTGATCATTTACGGAGCAAATTTGACAAGAAAGCTGTTAGATGTATCTTTGTGGGATATGACAACCAGAGAAAGGGGTGGAAATGTTGTGATCCAGAGAAAGCTGTTAGATGTATCTTTGTGGTATTTGATGAAGCATCTTCTTGGTGGTCATCAGAGAAGGAGGTGTTGCCAGATTCGAGAGAATTTGGAGACAAGCTACAACAAAAGATGGGGGAGCATGATGTTCAACTCCAAACAAGTTCAGATGAATCAGAAGATCCAAATGGCGATGATGTCGAACAAAGAGTGACTCAGAATCCTTGGCAAACTGACGTGTATCAACAACCAAATGAAGAAGGTGGGCCTAGTGAAACAGAAGAATCAATTCCACAATCTCAACTCCGAAGGTCAACAAGAATACGAAGGCCAAATCCCAAATATGCCAATGCAGCCATAATTGAAGAAGCAACGGAGCCTGAGACGTTCGAAGAAGCATCGAAGAGTTCTGAGTGGATGACAGCTATGAAAGAAGAGATCGATGCACTTCAGCAAAATCAAACTTGGATATTGTACCAAAGATAAAAGATGTGAAACTCATATCTTGCAAATGGGTTTACAAGATAAAGTGTCGTCCAGATGGGTCAATCGAGAGGTACAAAGCGCGATTGGTAGCTCGTGGTTTCTCTCAACAGTATGGACTAGACTATGATGAAACATTTAGTCCAGTGGCGAAACTTACAACCGTACGAGTCTTACTTGCACTTGCAGCCAACAAAGACTGGAACTTGTGGCAGATGGATGTGAAGAATGCTTTTCTTCATGAAGAACTAGATCAAGAGATCTACATGACCCAACCAATGGGTTTTTAGAGTCAAGATCATCCTGAATATGTGTGTAAGCTGCGAAAAGCACTCTACGGATTGAAACAAGCACCTAGGGCGTGGTATGGTAAGATTGTTGAATTTCTAACGAAAAGTGGTTATTCAGTAACACCTGCAGATTCTAGCTTGTTTGTCAAAGCCAATGAAGGTAAGCTAGCTATCGTACTAGTGTACGTGGATGACTTAATCATAACCGGTGATGATGAGGCAGAAATTCTTCAGACGAAGGAGAATTTATCAGTTCGTTTCCAGATGAAGGAACTTGGACAACTTAAGCACTTCCTTGGTCTAGAGGTTGATCGCACACACGAAGGAATATTTCTATGTCAACAGAAATATGCTAAAAATTTGTTGAAGAGGTTAGGAATGCTCGAATGCAAGTCAACTTCAACGCTAATGGAACCAAATATCAAAATGTGTGCACATGAAGGAAAAGATTTGGAAGATACAACAATGTATCGACAATTGGTAGGTAGTCTGATCTACTTAACCTTGACCCGACCTGACATTTCTTATGCAGTTGGTGTGATGAGTCGGTATATGCAAAATCCAAAGAAGCCTCATTTGGAAGCAGTTCGACGAATACTGAGATATGTGAAGAATACAATTGACTATGGTCTTTTGTACAAGAAAGATGAAGACTGCAAGTTAGTTGGTTATTGTGATGCTGATTATGCAAGAGATCATGACACCAGGAGATCAACAACTGGATATGTGTTTAAACTTGGCTCCGGAACAATTTCTTGGTGTAGCAAAAGACAACCAACGGTATCATTGTCAACCACTGAAGCTGAGTATCGAGCAGCAGCAATGGCAGCTCAAGAGAGTACATGGTTGATACAGTTGATGAATAATCTACATCAACCAGTAGATTATGCAATTTCGTTGTATTGTGACAACCAATCGGCAATTCGGCTGGCGGAGAATCCTGTCTTTCATGCAAGAACTAAACATGTGGAAGTACATTATCACTTTGTTAGGGAAAAAGTTTTGCAAGAAGAGATTGAGATGAGGCAAATCAAGACAGATGAGCAAATTGCTGACTTGTTTACAAAAAGCTTGAGTGTTGGAAAGTTTGAACATTTCCGTCGTCAGCATGGCGTGATTCAAAGAATGGAGGCTAACATTGAGGGAGAGTGTTAAAAATTCAATATTAGCCTAAATAAGTTCACACCTAAATTAATTTGATGTCTCATTGCTTACATCAATTTAGTTTTGATGTCATTGCTTACATCAATTTAGTTAGGTGAAAATTAAGTATTTTTCTCATGTTTTAATTTCAATGGTTTAGATTATTTAGTGCTTATTTTAATGAGTGGTTTAGATTGTTTCTTATAACCTATAAATACCCTACTTGTATTTGAGTTTTATCATCCAACAATCAAAGCTTAATTATAAGCATTTGAAAGCTTTCTTAAGAGTTCTTCCCTTTTGCAATTTTGTGAGATTATTCTAAAGAGTTTTTTTTCTTCTTCTCGATCAATTAGAGTTTTTACTCAATTTTGATTCAACAGTTTACAATACTCGGTCTTTGCGATTTATCAGGACACAACGAAGATTATCAAGTTCAGCTTGCGGTTGGTCAGTGTCCGAGAAGTTGCATCCATTTTGTGACGCCTTCGCAAAGAATCATTCTGGAGGAGTTACTTGATAGGTACGTATGTATCTCTAATAGCCCGTACCTCTGATAGCCTCCAAGGAGTTCTCATTCCCAACGTTCAACGAGTTAAGTTACCTTACTGGCGATGATTTTCGGAAACGCGATAGACCTATAATTGCTGCTGGCTTCTATAATCCTTTAGTTTCATTGAACATTCATTATTGTTTCTTCACTAATGCATGCTTATGAATTATGGTTTCTGATTATGTAGCATCCTGGGCGTGCCTTTCGACATTTCAGCGGAAGCAGACTTGCTTTATTCCCTTATAGTTAAAGCCAGGTTCGAAAATAATAGGTACCAAAGCCACGTGCAACCAACAATGTTTCTGCTTGAACCCATGACAGTACAACACATAATATATGCACATATGGCGTCGATAGTTTCATGTGCGATTCTTTGGAGAGAGGTGGCTGAACAGAAGAATATGTCTGCAACTTATTCATGCACAAGCATAGGGATAATAAGATTCTCCAAACGTATCTGAGTTCAGGTAACATATGCAGATTGTGTATCATAAGATTTACTGATATTTAGCTAAAGGAAGGTTGAATATATATTGTATCGTAAAAGTTTTTCTTTGCACCTTACAATGCAATATAGACCTTAGAAGACGTCGTAAAAAAAACATACAAAGCCGAAACTTTCCGACATTGAACCCTGAACACTCTCGTAAGAAACTCGATAAGACGATATTATTTTGAAATGGCTTTCATGAATCGATTCAGTGAAGAGAAAATGACTGCAGCTTGACTAAACAATGAAGGACCTTGCTCTGACTTCTCCCCTGCATTCCCGAATATTATCTGAAAAGATGAAACAAAATTCAGAATGTTTGCATCTTTAAGTTGAATTTTCCGTGCAAGTTTGAGTGGTTTCAGAAAGCAAATCAACCTCGAGTTCTTCTGCATCGGGACGGCTCACGAGTTCTTTTGCAAGCAGATATTTTCCGAGCCTGTCTTTATCATCGTAGAACACCTTCCACAATCTGAAAACGAGTTGATAATGGCTAAGACATGTTGACCCGATCACAGAGAGTTGATATTCGGGACATTACAGCAAAATCTAAACGAGGCTTACCCTGGATAACATCAACACAGCACCAGCTGCCAAAGGTCTCATTGAGTAAACAGTCGTGAAAGAACTGCAATGCAAACGAGATAGAGACGTACTAATTATTACTGCAATATAACCAGAGTATGTGTCGGATATAGATATCGAATACGAGTGTTTCCTACAGAACGAGAATCGAGTACCATAAAAAGTATCGCCTTAACTGGCGAACGTTAACCCCGTCTCCGGCATCTTCACTTATGAGACGAGGGTTCCACATGATGAGAGGCCCAGGCTACCAAATTTTGAAGAAAATCATGATGAGAAAACACCATTTAGTCACTAGCAAAGAAAACTGAAATTGCAGAACAATCGTCTGCAAATCAACCGAGGGAATGAGGAGGGGATGAATCGGATAGCTCTTCTCGCATCTTCCATCCTTGTGAATCGGATAAAACCGAATCTACTGTCCCCTTTGCTCCTCTTGCTTGGGATGAAGGAATCAACAACTTCACCATATTTATCGAAAATAAGCCAAAGTCCTTTGAAATGAAGAAACTCTGGAAGATATTATAACAATTAATGACAGTTTTTATCAATTAAAAAAAGAATATAATAATAATAATAATAATAATAATAATAATAATAATAATAATAATAATAATAATAATAATAATAATAATAGTCCAAGTTAAATTCTTATGTTACCTAAACAAATATAAAGATATTATAATTAGATTCCTAATACAAATAAACTCTTCCTCTTTGAAATATCATAAAACTTCAAACCTTATAGCCTACTTTCTGCTTTATTACTTCGATAGAAGAATTGGAGGGCCGCCACGCAAAAGATGGTTTGTTATCATCCAAATCCTATATGAAACTCATCATTCTTTTATTCTCACGACGATATTCTGATATTATTATTATTTATTTTATATACGATACCTAATTAATGTTAATAAATACGATTATTACAACGTTGGTTTATATGTATGAATGCCTTTTTCCTTAATTTTTCGCCTCTTGATTTGTAAAAAAAAAAACAGGCGAAACATGATGAGGAGAATAGGGGGATTTAATAAGTGAATTGCCTGATGATGTTCTTATCAAAATCTTGTCTTTTCTCACGCCCGAAGATGCAGTACTTAAAACCAGATTGCTTTCTCACTGATGGAAACAACTCTGGGAATTTTGGCCTGCCGTTTTAGTTTCGATGGCCTAGTGTCAGTAGTTTACAGTAGTGACTATGCCAAAGGTGGTGTCATTGTCAAACCTGTTGATGATAAGTTTATGGAGAATCTGGAAAGGAAGAGGTTCAATTTTGTAAAATGGGTCAGTAATGTTCTGATTTCTCATCAAGGTCCAACCTTTGATGAACTGAGAGTTCGATTCGACTTGATCAAGGATTCACAGCGTTACATCGATAAATGGATTGAGATCGCAATGAGAATGAGGGTCAAAAGGTTGGAACTGGATATCCAACCTTTTCTACAAGAATGTTTCCCTGGGATTGAATTCCTTTAGTCTTTATTTGAAATATGTGGGAATAACCGATGAGACTATGGAGTCTGTTCTATCGAACTGTATGATGCTCGAAAGTCTCCGTCTCGAAAACGTTGAAACTGCTTAGGCATCCTAAAGTTTCAGGTACATCACAGAGGTTGAAACACTTTCACATATCTGAATGTTTATCTCTGAAAGTATTGAATTGTCTGCAAAATCTTGTTTCATTTGAATACCATGAAGAACGATTAATAACATTGGATATAAGGCATGCACCCAAATTCACTGAGCTCTATTACTATAAGCTATCAAGCTCTAAAATTGCAGACATTGTTTCTCAGCTATCCAATTATCTTCCTCAATTACAGACTCTGAGATTGAATATTTCATCAAAGGTAAAACAGGTTGATTTCTTTCATATGTTAATTTGAACTTGTTTGCTAATTCGATTACTCTCCGATCTCACAGGATGATTTATTGATGTTTCCGCAATGTACTAATCTTCTATACTTGGACTGTCAAGTTAAAGTAAAATCCGAAGATAGACTCACCAATTTGAGAATTTTGACAGAGGCGTCACCTTATTTGTGAAAGTTTAAACTAGAGGTTAGCTTTTTTACCCCCATTTCTTGTGACTCAAGGTATCTATTTCGATATTCTATTGACAATGCACAGACCCCTAAGGTCACAGCTGCTCGAACCTGAATCTTCTAAGCAAAACAACATTCCCTTTTACCTGCAATGTTTATGTCTGTATGTCGAATATTAACTTCATCGATATTAATCACTTGAAGGAAACTATACATGATTTATGTGTTGAAATTTTTGAACCAGATTAAAAATTTCAATCAATACCGTAAAAAAGAGAGCAGATTTGACAAGTTATATGAGGTGGAAATGCATCCGAATAAGTACCTGAAGAAGGTGGAAATAGTTGGATTCTTGGGAGAAATGGAGGAAGCTGAATTTCTTACTTATTTGGTTAAAAGTGCCATTAATCTTGAGAAGATTATACTTCATATCGATGTCTTGAATCTACAAATAATATATTCGGAGGAGTCTGCCGATACTACGAAACAAATGGCACAAAACTTGGCTCGTCAGCTCTTGAAAAATCGCCCTGGAGCTGAATTAGTTCTACTCTGACTTTGATGTTGGTCGCCATCATAGGTGTTCTTTGTTTTTTTTTTTTTCTTGTTTCTTAATTTTCAATAATTTTGTCTCAAAACACATTTTCATGTCTTTACGGTATTCTTTTCTCTATCATTTGGTATATTTTAAGTTTTTTACCGGTCGTTTTCTTTAATTAATTTTCTCAAAATTAGGTTCAATATCGTCTTGACTGATCAAGATAACGATTATTTATTATTGTGTATAGTCCTTATATAATCTCTATTGATTTGTTCATTATACAGTGGTTATAAAAATAATCTAATTATATATTTAATTCACATTTATGGTTGTAAACATTTATTGTAATTTTGAATATTTTTTTAATAAAACCGATGGTTTTTATTTGTTTAAAAAGAGTTCTACTCTCGTATTTTTTTTACAATCAACTATTTCAATTTTGAAGTATTTAAAATGTTTTTATTGTTTGAATATAATCTGTTTAGTTCAAGCATATATTTGTTAATAACATGTGTTTAAATATAAAGATTTAATACAGATTATTATTTTAGTTGCAATATATGGTTAATGAATAATGTTTATTTGAAAAAAATAATTGTGATATAACGATGATTTAGGATAAATATTTAGATTATTATAAATTATTTTCATGTAATTATTTAGGCTTTTTTTTTATTTAAATATAACCTTTTTTTAATAATTATCATTTTAATACCCTTTCTATTATAAATTATTTATCATTTTAAGCCGAAGAGCATCCTACCGGAAGTATTTCTCGGGTGGCCCATCCGACCCAATTAAATGGACGAAAACCAGATGAAACATAGGTTTGATACATTTGAAGTAGGTGGTGGATGATGCGGGTGATGGATTCGAGTGAAAAATTTTCAACCTACCATCTGATCAGTTACTCGCCTCATCCATCCATCTATCAATATAATATTAATTTTAGAAAATATTAATTACCTTAAAGATTTTTTTAGGATAAATTCTAAAAGTATTTTTTTTATTTTCTCATTTCAACGTCATTTCTCTATTACTTTCTCAATTTCTCCTATAATTTCAACTAGGAATTGAGCCAAATAGATATGTAAATTTTTAATTTTTTAATTTTTTTAATTTTGATTTTGCATTTTTTTTCTTTCTCCTACCATTTCTAAATTGATTGAATTCGTTTGTGCTTATATTTGTGGTAAATGTTTTGTTTGAAATTTTGGTTCATTTGTTAGCATTAAGTTTTATTTTTTAAATTGTTGTTAAGTTTTTTCTTAAATGGGTTAAATATTAAAACTTAATGTATTGGAAATTTAAAACTTTAATAGTAGTTGACTTAATGTATTAAATATTAAATATTTTTAGTAAGATGATATATGTATTTTTAATTCTGATTTTTTAGTAATAGAACGCATATATAACCCGACCCACCCACCTCATCTGCAATTGATGGGTGGGACGGATTTTGGTCAATGATCAAGCAGGTGGTGGGTGGGTTGGATGACAATTTTGGATGCGGTTGGTGGGGTGGGTGGAACTCTAACCCACCCAAATCTGACTCGTTGTTAGCCCTAATGAAGTATCTTCCGCTTTCGTGCCACAAAAGAATCAGGAATCTTTAAATTGAGATTGAAATGAAAGAAAAAGAAATAAATAGATAAAATATGAATTTTATCTAAAAACAAGAAACATATGTGGTGTGTATCAAAGACACGTAATTACACAAGCATGAGTCGAGTGGCGACGACAGCGACACTAGTGTATTAATCTTATGTTCAATCACTCAATAAAAAACATGCTTAAAATGTTATATTTAAACACTTCAAAACCATGTATCTAAACAATATGGGCTAATACATGTGAGTCACCATTGTCGCTCGATCAAACTCGTGTATATCCTCGTACAATTACATATTTTCGATCAACATCACGCAAGTTTATTCCTTTTAGATAAAATTATATTTTTTACTCCTATTTTTTTCTTTCATATCAACTCGACTTAAAGAATTCTAACTAAGCAAAAAACTCTTCTTACAAAAATACCTTCTAAAAATGTTTCCTACTGAAAGTATCTTCTGCTTATGTAGCATAGAAAGGTGTCAAATTAAAGGGTAAATTATCCATTGAAAAGACAGAGTATTTATGTACAAACTTCAGTGGGAACCAAAATGATGAAGATATAGAAGTATGTATAGAAGGACACGTTCTCCCCTCAAAGGATTGTTTCAAGTACCTAGGGTCTATGATACATAAAGATGGGGGTGTGGATGATGACTTTACACATCGTATAAAGGCGGGATGGCTAAAGTGGAGGGTTGCTACTGGAATTTTGTGTGACAAGAAGGTGCCTCTAAAACTTAAGGGAAAATTTTATAGAATGATAATAAGACCAACACTGCTGTATGGATCAGAATGTTGGGCAATCAAGAAGGATCACGTAAGGAGGATGGAGGCCGCAGAAATGAGAATGCTTCGATGGGCATGTGGTAGGACTCTGTGGGACATGACACCAAACTCTGCTATTAGGATGTCTTTGGGGGTGGTGCTTGTATCCGAAAAATTGAGGGAGGGAAGACTACGATGGTTTGGGCATGCCCTTAGGCGACAACCGTCGGATGCGGTCAGGAGGGTAGATTCGATTACAGTCGACGGTGCCAGAAGGAGAGGACGACCAAGGCAGAAGTGGGAAGACTACTTGAGATCTGATTTGAAGGATTTAGCCCTTACCGAGGACATGACCTCTGATAGGAAAGTATGAAGACTTAAGACCAGGGTAGCCGAGTAGTGTGTGTCACATCCATAGGGTGTATCATATCTGTCTTCTTTTAATGCCTTTGTAGTAATTTCCATGACTTCTACTTTTTATATGTTTCTGTCATTGGAATTTATGAAGGCTTAGAATTAGGGTAGCGGAGTACTGTTGCCTTAGTTTAGGTTTTTACCCATTTTGACTTTATTCCTTATCGTAACTTGCTATCGTTGACTTCTGTGTATCCTTCGCTTCATGTTTCCTCTTTTTAAATTTAGTCGGGTCTTACGTTTCTGTCTATATGCAGAGATTTATACGCAGGGATTTATTTGCAGGGATTATCCCTCATTACAGACGTGCATACGCATACGCAGACTGCATATGAAAATTGTTCAACTATGTATTTATTTATTTATTTATACATGTATTGCATTTTATCTTTATTTTTAATTCTCTGACTGCCAGAGGTCTTCCACGGAAGCTGCTCTCAACCTGGCGTTGGGGGCAGCCTACTACCCTACCTCCCCCTTACTCCATTGCATATGAGAATAGGGTTTTGTTGTTGTTGTTGTTGTTAATATCTAAATTTTTATTTTTTTAAAATAATATCTAACGTTTAGTTTTTGTTTCATTTTAGTACCTAAACTATCAATTTTAGTCCCTTTTAATACCTGAACTTTAAAAAAAATCAAAACTTAAGGTTAAATTTTGAACGGAGTATTAAAATGAAATAAAAACTAAACTTTAGATATGCTTTTAAAAAAATTAAAAGTTTATATATCAAAACGGGCTAAAACTAATAGTTCATGTACTAAACATAATTTAGGTATGGTTTTCAAAATATTATTAATTTAAGAAAAATCAAGCAGCCGTTTGCATCTATACGTTTTTTGTTTTTTAATGAAAGAGATAATTAGACCGTTGAACACAATCAAAAATGATATCCGTTACCCACCACTACACAGAAAGTAATCTCCATCCCAAACCAAAAAAGCTTTTGACTTTTTTGAGAAATCCTTTAGATTCGAAGAGGAAAAACCCAACATTTCACTGATGGGTGTATAGAGCGGAACAAAGTAAACGAGGAGCGTAGCTGAGGAGCGGAGAAGAAGAAGAAGAAGAACAAAAAAACAATTCAGTTGAGAAAAGAGTGAAGACCCACATTTTCTTTTAGTGTTCTTCGTTTATTGGCTTCTGCAAATTTCTTCTTTTTTCTGGGCAATAATGGTTGCGAGAACCCCACCAAAGAAAAGGAAAATAGTGGTGGCTCCCCTTGATCCTGTCCTACTCCGGGAGACCGTAAAGAAGGTAAAGTTGGGCACTTTTGTTTTGTTTTTTTGAGGGTGTATATGTTTATTTGTTTTGGGGATTGTTTGAAGGTGGAGAAATGTATGGCGAGGTTGCAAGAGTTGCAGTATACGGTGGCCGGAGGGACAAAGGTTATATCAGGGGTAAAACTGAGTCCTAGGAGTACTAGGGCTTATTTGAAAACTAGTCTCAGGTGCAAGCAAGAGTCTTTGAGGTATGCCCAAATTTGGGATTTTTTTTTTGCCGGTATCTAATTTATTGATTGACTATTTTGGATCGAGTTTTGTAAATGCTCCATTATGGCAACCCTCTTAGCCCAACTTGCAAATGGAATAATTGTCGGAAGTCAAACTTTTGATTTTGCTTAAGGGATTAGTATCTCATTTCGCTGGATCAATTAGTTATTGGTTGATTTTGTCTTTAATCAGTGACAAAAAGAAAAGATTGAAGTTTTTTGTTTTGTTTTTATGTAGAATGAAGAATGGTACATCTCCAAGGAAATCACCTGTTGGCAAGTTTCCAGCTGCTGCAAGAGGTATTGGAAACAAATGGGGTTTCCTTTTTACTTGTGTTGAACTCGAAACGATATTGTTAGGAGAGACAATCTCGAATATCGAACATTGAACGTTTGCTGATATTGACTTGCTTTTATGCAGGTGAATGGAAGAGAATGTCATTGCCTGCAATGCTTGTAGGAGAAACAGTAGGGGAAATTCTTCAAGCTAGTCAATTTGCAAAAGAGATTTTAGCAGCGGTTGATAACAAAGTCAAAAAGACAATTGTTGAGGATCCAAAAACTCCATTGACTGAACGTAGAAAGCAAAAGCAACAACCTGAGAACACCGAGCTGAAAGCCAGGAGAAAGAGGGAGAAGCAGAACAAATTGCAGCTGATTCGAACCGATTCCGAGTCCCCGTCTCTTCGAAGGGCTCGTTCCCGGATCAACTTCAAGGTTTCTCCTCCCAAATTTAAGGAATACGAGAAGGAAAACAATAGACTAATGGCTAATAGGGTGTTACCAAGGAATAGGCCCTGGGCTAAAAGGACTGTTCTATTCCCAAACCCTTTGTTTAGTTCAACATCTGCCTCGCAGCAACAGAAGTTCTG